CCTTTAAGACACATCCTCATTTCCTTCTTTAGCTCTTCTAGCCTCATACCTAGTGTGTGCGTTAGTTCATTAACTCGAGCTGGGGATTTCTGATTGTCAGGGGACTCTGTTAGCAGCTCCTGTGAAAAGTGTTCTGGTGAGGATCAGGGGCCTGTGGATCATAATTGCATGTCTGCCTGTCATCCCCATCTGTGAGGTAGGATCCCAGGCAGGAGGGCTGGCTCACAGTCTGTGAACAGCTTGGTTATGGCGCTGTGACTACCGTGGCTTTGACAGTGTCGACCAGTGCAGCTCAGGAGGATATAGCATCAGACTCTGATGGACCCTCACAGCCCAGACACAGCCTCAGTTCATCTTTTTCCTTCTCTTTTTGAAGAAAAAAAAAAAATGCTTTCCTTCCCCTACCTATCTCAGTGACACAGTGTTGATGACATAATGAAGGTGGAAGTATCTTATGAATACAAGAGAAATATGTTACATAAAGCCTAGGTATTACTATAACAGGAAGTGCATCCGCAGGTTTTGTTCCTTAAAATAAGTTCAGACTGTAAACAATAACGTCTGCATCCTCAGGAGGAGGCACTTATAAATATTTCAAAAGCACTGCACATGTCCACAACAGAGATAGTATCTCATGCTCAGCATGTATTCAGCAACCAAGAGTTTCTGAATGTTCTTATAATAAGTTGGCTGGATAAGTGAGTTATAATTGCCATCTTCTAAAACTCCTGATGGGTGGAGTTTCTGGAAAAATCCCACAAAAGATACTATCTCAATGTCACAAACTTGATAATAGCATTAATGGTTTTAAAGAAATCATAATTTTCTCAAGTGTGCCTGAGGACTTATAAATATATTCGGCACATCCAGATGGTAAAGCAGTCCATCCTTTATGTAAGGCAGGAGCCAGGATCATGGTGGCTGTTACCGCAAGGATGCCAGTCCTTTCCCATCAGCTAACCGAAACTCTGCCATTACATTCGTGTGCAAGAAAGAGGGAATTAGGTGGATTTTATATTGTAAATTCATAGAGAAAAGCAGCTGGGAAAGTACATGTTTTTAAATTGATGGTGCAGCCCATTCTCCTCCTTTTCCCTCCACTTCTGGTGACCCCAGGCCCTTTAACTTTGCCATCCCCTTCCCGCATTTCTGGTTCGGACAGATTTCCCAGTAGTGAGGAGGGTCTCAGTGACTATGATGAAAAGCTGTTTCATCCAGCAGAAGGGGTTTGCTTTCCTTCTCGTGGGACCGTTGTGGGCTTCCTCGAGCCAAAGAGATTCTGTGAGACTTTCCTACTCATGAGTAAAAGAAGTCCTCCTGGGAACTTGTTACCCTTCAACAAATATTTCATCCTCTGCCTTCCCCATTAACGTCACAGGTACTGAAAGGAGCATCTATACTCTACCGCTCTACCTGCTCGCTTAACACTTTTCAGCATCATTCCTGTACCCTCCAGTTGACTGAAACTGCTTGCTTAACTGTTCCATTCCAATTACTCTTCTAACGTCCAGACCACTGGCTTTGCCTTGACCCCGATTTCTTCACCCTTTGTACAACATTACACACAATTGGCTACTCTCTATACATCGGAGCTTTCTTCTTCCCTGCATCTTGTCACACTGCACCATCTTGGATTCCTCCCTACCTCTCTTTTGGACTTTATCTTTCTCCTCTAACACTAAAAGACAGGCATTGGCCAAGATTTTGCCTTTGCCCTGAATGTCTTCTCCCTGAATAGCTTTATTGATCTTAGCCACTCAGCTCAGATAATACCCAAATTTATGTCCAGCTCTCCATTTGACCTAAGCATTGGACTCAAACTTCCAAATGCATTCTAGACAGTGTCGACTGCCTGAGTGGTAGACCATTGCCACAAATGAAAAAATCTGATTTTGCACCACCCCTGCCTTTTCTTTCTCTTACTGAATCCTTCCTTTCCTGTGTATCCAAACCTGACACTCTGGAATGTCTCCCAATTCCTCTTTGTCCCCCAGGTGCTGTCAGTTTAAGGCCTCTACATTACAAATCTACAATACCCTTCTTGTTTATCTTTTCTGTTCCATTTCTACTGCTACTGCTCAAATCCTAACACTTTTCAACCCATTCTCGGTGCTATTGCAGTAGCCTCATAAAGGGACTTTCTCGATTCTTCCTCTTAGCCTAGAAACCTTGAGCTTCCTGTTCCCTGTCCTGCTCTGTCTGTGCTTCTCCGTCTTCCACAACATAACTTTGTCCTGCCCCTCTGCTCTGTCTCCTGTGGCACCCCAATATAGTCTTGCCAAAATATATTGTAGTTCTTTAGACACCCCTGCTTTCTCACCCCATGCCTATTCATTGAATGTTTTCTTCACAGATGTGGGAAGGGTAAACACCCTTCACATACCTTGTGTGTCCCTGTCAAAATGTTACACATCATTCTAGTTCCATCTGAAATGCTTCCTTTGTAAAGCCATTTCTGATAACCAACAACCAATTAAATGTGGTCTCTCTTTCTCTGTCCTCCAACACCCCCCCAAGACCCGTCTTTCTACAACTTTCATGTTCTTTAAAATATTGTCCTGTCATAATGTCATAATCATTAATATTCTGCTACTCTTCACCCAACTAGTTCATTAGGTGCTCAAGAACAGAGAAGGATATTGTTTTCCACCACTTGCAGAGCCTAGCATAGTGTTTGGCCTATAATAGGTGCTTAATTAACATTTCCGAATTGAATGGACCAACTGAAGCCTAGTGAGTCTTCTCAAGGGTGTTCACCTAGCATGGAAGAACCAAGTCAGCTTTTTAGGAAAAGCTCTCACTTAATCAGACTATTAAAATGCACACTTACGCTTCTCATTTACGTGGTAAACCCTTCCTTTTTGTGGGTAATGGAGTCAACTTTACATTTTTTCCTCTAAAAATCTTTATTTTAAAAAAACCTAAGATTTCTGCATGTCAATAGCTTTAGCTAAATCTCAACAAATATGCAGAGGTAGTGCTTGACTGCAAACTTTGCTTTCTGTCTCATACTCATCTCCATATCTGTTTTGGAGTTAGAGACATCACATGTATTAACAGTACAGGCGTATGTCCTGATTGCTGAGTGTTTTCTGACATCCCCACAACTCTCGGGACTTTGTGTCACTACTCTGGAAACTTTGTCCATTGTATGTTCATATCTGGGCTCATGGCCAAGCCACCTTTATATAAATTTAGCACAAATAATTTAGAGCCTTGTTCCATTCCAGCTGGCAACCCCAATACATGCACGTTAACTTAACAGCAGGCTTGCTGGGGAAGTTGTATAAAATGAGACTCTCCGGGACAGAAGTCAACACAGGATGCATAGTGTGCAGAATGGTATAAATATGTTAGTCCGTATTGCCAGGTAAATACCAAGCCCCAAGTCTTGGTGCCACTACATGAAGATACCACTCTGGGGAGATGCTAGACTGAGCTAGCCCAGAGGTTGCTACAGGGGGTGATTTCTGAAATAGACAATAAGGGGTTTTAGCTGCTCTCCTGGTTCACACCATCCCAATGTTTCCTAAGTGTTTCTTAAAACTGTGTGTCACAGTGAACTGGTGTCAACCCAAGAGGAAGAGAAGAAGAATGGCGGGTGCGTGGTTACATCTACAATAGTGAGTCATCCCGGCCACCACAGCTCATTTTGTATTTCTTACTACCTTATACTGAGTTCCCTGGGATACTTCCAAATGTTTCTGTTCTCTGTCTAGTCTAGAAACCCATAGCACACCCCCATCCTCCCATCTCCAGGTTGTCCGCAACTGGGGAACAGAATGACTTAGATGATAAACTCTTGCATTTCCGTGGGGGTAAACTGGGGCAGAGGCAGAAGTGCTGCCTGATCATGCCCTTGATTTATTCTCCATTGTGCCATTCCGTGTTGACCACGTTCATCATTCCCTTGGGAGACTTGCTTAACTAACAGTGTGTCCTTCATGTGTGATGCCTATAGGATCCTGTCGAGATCCTGAATTCTAGAAGTGACTCAGCCTTTATATAGCTGTGGGCTATTTCATCTTTCTGAGCCTGCATTTCCTCATCTGTGAAACAAGAGAGGTAGGTTCTGTGCTTTCAGCCCATTTGCCTCTAATCTAACAGGGTTCTGTGTGTGCAGGGGAATCCTGTTGCCATAAGAGCATATTCCAAAGATGTCTTTTCTGATGATTTAGGCTCGCCCTGATCCCTGGACCTCCCTTTGTCTTTGACAAGACACCTTTTCTCTTTTGTCTCTCTTAGCTCTAAGTTACCCCAGCTCAGTCCAGACCCTCCCTGCCTTTTGCAAAACAGCCCCTCCCCTTTCCTTACTATTTCTTTTCCTCTGAGACACTCTTTTATGTCAGTTTTCTACCCCTAAATTTTATCAGACATTTTAGATTCTATTTCGGCAACATTTATTCCAGGGAATTGCCCATTTCCCCCACCTTGACCTTAATCTTCTACATTAACAGGGGATTATTTTAACTCATCGGTTATTTGGAAGAACCGGGAATGTGGTCCTCAGAAATGCTCGTTTCTTGTTCTGCTGTCACTAAATATGATATTTGCAGGCAGTGGAAATTCTATGTAGGAATGAGCTGTTTATTCTTGAAACTAGATGGGCCACAGGCCACATTCGAGTTATAATTTAACTGCAGATGATAACCTAAGTGTTAATCGAAACTCGGATTTGATCACTAACACAGAAGTAGCTCTACCTTACCTTTCTGTTCAGCATAGCTTATTAAAATTAGATTGTAAAAAATAGAAATTACATTGGAAAAAATACAAAGGAATGACAACAGCGAATTTGTTAATTAATCCCACCTCACTCTTTATGTCTCAGAGGCAGCGTAAACTATGTAATAAGCTATGCATCTATTTGTAAAACAGTCTTGAATTAAGGAGCTTATTCAGATGCCATTGTAAAAATAATTTTCTGAAATTGTGGTCTAGCAACAGGAGATAAGATGGCACTTTGTTGTCGCCTGCTGGGGCCCATTATGAATATTCTATTTCAGAGGCAAATCACACTGTAAATACAATGTTCAGATTCATTTATTTCCACAATAGCATTTTTGCAAAGGTGCAATTTCATAATTTGACTTAGCATTGATAGCACATCATCATTTCAAAGCTCTTTATAACCACTGGTTAATTCACACATCCTTGGGAAATTGTTTATTTGTACCAGATCCATTTTAAAGTGAAATCACCAACAACATATAAAGATAAAGAAACTTGCCAAAGGGTAAACGGGGACAGAGATGTGATTAAAATGTGCTGTCCTTCTATCTGTATCCTTTCCTTAGCACATGTGACTAGGCACTTCTGAACACGCATGTGTTCCCAATAAAAACGAAGGCTCTATTAATGATTCTATTACAGGCAGGAAACTTGGTTTAAAACAATAAATCCAAGTCATTCGAGATGCAAATGCAAGCAGGACCTGAAATGAAAGAATGTATTAATTGTACTTTTCTCCTCTGTTGGGTCCTCCTGAGCCAGATTTTTATTAAAGCAAATTGATCAATGGTGGACTAAGGCTAAAGTTATTTAGCTGATTCCCAGCATTAATTGGAAAATGTCTAGCATTTCTAAACACCTCAATAAAAAGAGAACTTGAACTGTCAGCCCCCCATTATTTTTGTCACTACATCTTTCCTAAGACGGACCTTGAGATTTAAGCTATTGATGTTTTGTACCCATGTTGTTTCAGGGTTTGGTGTAGATACTGATTATACAGGCCCTGAGACTGATGATGAATGTGAGTTCACTGTCCAACATCCATCACAATGTATACTCAAAAAAAATATATGGTAATAAATTCAGAACTTAAAAACTTTTAAGTTGAGGTAAATTCAGGCACTTTCCAAAGCACTGTTTATTTGCATACCAAAACTCTTCCTCTGAATACCTCAACTGTTGCCTGCTCCTTCATTCATTGATTCAATCATTTAGCAAGTGTTTATTGACCACAGAGTATGTGCCAATTATTGTTCAGTGATAGAGCAGTGAACATAACAGACATCATTCCCTGCCTTCATGGTACTTACATTCTAGAAAGACGATGATAAACAAAGGAGAGCTGTTTGTCAGGAGATGTCCTTTGTGCTCACCCTGTGCCCTCCAACTTGATCCTCATTATCTTCATTGGCAGTACCAAGACAGGCCCAGTCTCTCTGGGACCTGACTCTCACTCCAAACAAGATGTATATAAAAACATCTGGCTGAGGCAATTGTTGGTTGAATGTCATGTGTGTTTCTGATTGCTGATGCTCTCTACTTGTAACCTCTGCTGGGTTTCCAAACCTTCTACAATTCAACCCTCAGCCACTGCTCTTGCTTCCCAAGTTCACTCAGTCTCCAGCCCTAAATACTTGACCAGTGCAAGCCAACTCTCCACACCCGGCGCTGGCTAGCAAGGTCTCGCTTCAGGCCTTGGCTCCTTTGTCTATAATTATGGATCCCAGTCCATCCTCTTTGACTCTCCGGCAGACCCTGATTGACAGGCCTCAGGAAGCAGTGGACAGGGACACAGTGAACATGTGGCTTCCAAAGCTTCAGGATGATTCAGGGTTGCTTTACAATATGTTTGCCAGAGCTGGCTCAGAGGGGCTGCTGGGGATATGGTCTCTGGGTGAGTCATATATAGGAATCTCTCAGTTGGGGCCAAGCACAGTCAAGTCTCATGTTTTGGAGTTGGTTTATAGTCTCGGCAACCATTTTACTGGCTCTTCAAGTGGCACAAATTAAATAGAAGACAGAAGGAAACTATAGGAAATCTTTTCTGCCTCATATCTCTAGTATAAAAATAATAATTCTTTAACAAAAATATTAATAACTAAATAAATGAGCGGAATGCTTTATCTTACCATTCCATCTTCGCCTCCTTCCACAAAAGGCCCCCATCCATCTCCTGAATGTAGCTAGTGGTGATAGAAACAGAAAGGAAGAGATAGCCTTAAGAAGACATGGACAGAACTTGACCAGTGATTGGATTTGAGGGGAGATGGAGACTGGGCATTAGTGACTCTCAGTGTCCCTATCTTCAGGCCTGAAAGAACAATAGTACCAGCAACATAACTGGTAAAAAAGCAAGACGGGGGCGCCTGGGTGGCTCAGTCATTAAGCGTCTGCCTTTGGCTCAGGTCATGATCCCAGGGTCCTGGGATTGAGCCCCGCATCGGGCTCCCTGCTCGGCGGGAAGCCTGCTTCTCCCTCTCCCACTCCCCCTGCTTGTGTTCCCTCTCTCGCTGTCTCTCTCTCTCTGTCAAATAAATAAATAAAATCTTTTTTAAAAAATTAAAAAAAAAAAAGCAAGACGGTAGGTCCCGTTGTGGGCATTTTGAGATGCTTTTGAAATATACACATAACATTCTATTGCTTTGGAAATAATGTGATCAAGTTCCATGGTGATAAAAATGGGTTTGACCACTTCGTCTTAATGGAAGAAAGAAAACTAGGATTAATTTACCAAACCTGTGACGTAGCCCTGTGTAGGATGGCAAATATGCTCAGTATGGATTAGCAGTGGCCTTCGGTAGCGCATCTGAGAAAACTGCTTGGCAAGGAATAGCACAGTATACTGCAGTGCCTCCCACAGGCTTGAAAAGACGTGGTAGTGATCTCCATCTTTAATCCGTACGCAGAAGGGCCTCTTCCGGAAACAGGCTAACCACAGAATGGTAGAGAAGAGTTTTATTTGGAATAAACAATTTGTTGATTACATTAAAAGGCATGCGACTTATTTTTCTTGAGCACAGAGTTATCAGAAATAAAGTTTTACATTTAATTCCTTTGTTTTAAAAAAGTCTAATGTCTGTATTCTATAGAATCAATTTTTAAAACTTAAGATCTGCAGATACTGGAAAAATATATGTTGCCATTCTTATAGTTCTAAATAAAGATTTGTTCTGTGGTTTGGCAAACCCTACATTCTGTTTTACACAATAGGCCTTTTATGGAGACATACACATCACACTGAGGTCGCCTCTATGTCTGATGGAATTGGGCCTCATATTTTTCCTTTGAATAAATATTGGGGGAAAAAAACACAAGAAAATAAGTCACCCATAATCATACCACTCAAAGATAACACTATCTTAGTTTTGTATATCTTTTTTTGGCCTTTTCTCTTTGCATCTAGAAATATGCATATGTTAAAAAAGTTGAGATAGATACTTTTTATCCTACCATTTTCTCTTAAAGTTACATTTTAAGTATTATATTAGGCCCTTAAGTAGTTTTAAAACATGCCTTTTATAAATCACATTATCCTTGCAAAATAATAATTTTTATCAAACTGCTTAGGACATTTATTTTCAATTACTCAAAATTAAAAGTAATAACAATAATGGTGAGGTGATATCTCTATGCATATCTTTATGTATCTTTGAGAATTTCTTTAGAAGAGATTTCTAGAAGTATGATTTCTGAACTGAACAATAAGGACAGTATTAAGACTCTTGATACAAATTACCGGCTTATGTGAGAGGGTAATTCTCAGGATAGGGGAAGTTGGTGACATTTACTTTAAAACCACATCTACATTTCAAAGAAGTTGATATTTGTATGACATAAATTGCCATTTTATTTTTTTCTTTTTTTTTAATTTTTTATTGTTATGTTAATCACCATACATTACATCATTAGTTCTTGATGTAGTGTTCCATGATTCATTGTTTAAATTAAATTTTATTATTTAAATTAAATTTAAATTAAATTAAATTAAATTTTAAATCAGGAATTGGCATACTTTCTGAAAAGGATCAGATAGTAAATATTTTAGGCTTTGCTGACAAGATGGTCTCAACCTGAACTTCTCAGTTCCTCCATTATAGTGTGAAAGTCCTAAACAGTCTTTTTTTTTTTAAGATTTTATTTATTTGAGAGAGAGAGAATGAGAGATAGAGAGCATGAGAGGGAAGAGGGTCAGAGGGAGAAGCAGACTCCCTGCTGAGCAGGGAGCCCGATGTGGGACTCGATCCCTGGACTCCAGGATCATGACCTGAGCCGAAGGCAGTTGCTTAACCAACTGAGCCACCCAGGCGCCCTATAGTGTGAAAGCCCTAGACAAGTAAATGAATGAGCATGGCTGTGTTTCATTAAACTTTATTTATAAAAACAGGCAGTGAGACAGATTTGGTGTATAGGCCATAGTTTGCCAACCCCTGTCTTAATTGAAAATTCTGCCATGCTATGAAAAGATCTTAAATTTGTCACCAGCAAGATTTGGGAGCAAGTGTTCCCTTTGTAAAATTTGAGCTTATGGGATTGTGGATCCCAACTATAGTCTAGGGAAGGGAGTAAATTTGCTTTTGTTGCAAGACAATTTGGAAACCAAGCAAGGAAGCTATGAATCAGCCTGTTGTTTTAACATATGTAGGGTATGGAGAAGTCTATACACTTAGGCTTCTGTTTGCCTCTGTTAGGCATTTGTAGCTCTGCCCTGTATCTTTTCTCAGTGTGCTTTCCTGAGGAATTCACTCTAACTCCCACGAAAGTAGTCACATCTATGTATACAAACTATTTTCACTCAATATTGATTCAGTCAAGCGCTCCATCACTCATTAATACAAGCATTACTGCACAATTCCTAGGAAAACAAATCTGATGCTGGAAGAAAAAAGAAATCTTATGAGAAATAACTTTGTTCTCATGAAACCTACCAAACAGGGAATATTTTTCCCAGATGTTAAGCATGCAATTGCTTTTCCTTAGGTGACCCTTTATGGAACAGCTAAAAGACTACCTTTAACAAAGGTGTAAAACAAAGGAAATAAACCAAGTGTAATCTAAATGTTACTGTGTCATAAATAATTAGCAATTATCTGTCAAGGAAATTAGTAAACTGACCAAGGGGATTATATATGTTTTATTAGTCTTTATGGCAAAATAGAGGATGAAGGAAATTGCTTTCAGGGACTATCAGATCTTACGTAGATGTGCGTGCGTGCGTCTGTGTGTGTGTGTGTGTGCACACATACCCTTCTGACCTCAAGAATGCAAAAGCAGCTGCTTTGGTAAACACCACATCTGAGTCCAGCAGTAGTTTTATGCTCATTGTTTCTGTCTCTTTTATTTATGCTAGAGAAACAATGTGAGCTAGATGCAGACAGCTCTCTGCCAATAATAGAAGCGTGTTTGCCAGTGAGCCCAAGCAAGTAACAAAGATTTGGGAAAAAATGGATTTGACCTTAGCAAATTAATATAAACAATAACTTCCCTGCACACATCACACACACTCATACACACACACACACCATATATGAATAACAGCTACAGTCACAATTTTGGTTAGAAATACTTTTATATTTTTTGCTAGAAGACCCCAAATTGTGTTCCCATCATAAGCTTTTAGACCTAACACACAGTTTTTAAAATCTGCAGACGTTATAAACACATATACTGTTTGGCAGCTAGCTAAGAAGGTAACCCCAGATTTATATTCCGATCCTTCTGTTTGATGGATGAAGAAACTGTGGAGTTTTGACAGTGAGTGACTTGCCCAGGGAGTGGGTCTCTGGTACAAACTTGTTTCTCCTGATTCCCAGAACGATGATCTCCTCACCCATTCGTGCTTCCTCTTCGGCTAAGTTGCTTTTCCTATTTGTTGTTCGGTCCAGGTAGTGCACATTTGTCATTCGCTGTTTGGGCATACGTGCACTCCTTTTGCAGCTAGTCCTTCAGGGGCTGAGAACTTACTTTGTGGCATCTCGAAGGGTAGAAATTCTAGTCCTAATACCCTATAACAAACCTTCTAACTTTCATAAAATATGACTTTCTAGGAACCTAGTTTCAATCTTGAGCTAGTTCAACTTGAAAGGTTCACACATTTAAAAAAATGATTTTAGTACGTTATATATGTTTGTACAAATGCAACTCAGGGCCTTATAATAGTTGTTACATGACAGCCAGTCTTCAGGTGGGGTTATCGTGAGGTCACCCTAAATCACTGATTCCACTACCACTGTGAGCTGTGCATTGGGCCATGGTAATGCCTCAGAGAGCCCATCTGTATGTAGCCTGGCAGAACCGTCCATCATGATGCGCAGTTCTATAGCAAATCACTCTTCAATGACAAAGAATTGATTTGATTCTTTACATTACTTTAAATTCATCTGGTTACATGGATGCTTTTGCTTTTTTTTTTTTTTGGCTTTCATTGTTTAGATTCAAAGTATATGGTTCTCTACTCCATTTCTACTCCGGTGAGGGACTGTCTCATAAAGTGGTGAGCTCCCCTTACCCCAGAAGCTCTCAAGTAGTGGCTTGCTGCCATCCGTGAGGTGTGCCATGCATTTCTAGACTGAATTGGGCCCACAAATAAATGGAGATGAGTAGATTGAGTGCCAACCCCACGGCCGCTGGTTTGGATGGGGTCATTTTCATTTCATTCCCCAGAGCACATAATGAAAGACACAACTTATCTCAGAGCTAAGTTCGAACTGGATAATGGCATCACAACGACTGCTAGGGGACAATCATCGTGTCCTAGATCCCTGTGCCCCTGGGTACTGAGGAGCAACGGAACCAGTGAGGCAGTATTGGTTAAAAATAAGTACAAAAATAAAAGGCATCCCAGCCAGGAGGGGACTAGTAGAGCAGGACAGACACAGCTGACAGAGGACCTCATGGAAGACAAAATGCTACCAGGTTTCTCTTATGGTGGCGTTTGTTTTCTTCCCCGTTCTTCTCCCAGCTTTCTGTTTTTTGCAGTGATGATTTAGTACTTCTGGGGGTAGGGGTTCGATTCAAATAAAAGTATATCAGTGAAAGGAGAGGAAATGGAAGACAAAAATAGAAAGTATTGCAGTGAAAACATGTCTTGGGTCAAATCCTAAACAAATTATTAGAATGGATTTCGGTTATTTTCGACTGTTCGGCCTTTGTTCATGTGTTGACCAAATTACCTTTCGTTCCCAAGAACAGCTGAGCATCACACGGGGGTTACCTGTTCCGTCATACGATTTGGTTGAATCCCCTATTTATATCTTGATGGGAAGACAGACTCTCAAAATTTGAAAAAAAATCAGAATCTTCATTCCTTCTTTCTCATCAGCATGCCAATATTGTTTGATCATATTCAGTAACAACAACAACAACAACAACAACAACAACAAAAAGGCAGGAGTGTGGGGCACCTGGGTGGCTCAGATGGTTAAGCGTCTGCCTTCAGCTCAGGTCATGATCCCAGGGTCCTGGGATCGGGTCCCGCGTCGGGCTCCCTGCTCCTTGGGAGCCTGCTTCTCCCTCTGCCTCTCTCTCTCTCTCTCATGAATAAATAAATAAAATCTTAAAAAAAAAAAAGCAGGGGTGTGTATCATATGTCAGTACCACAGTCAGCCCTGGGTGCGGGAAGATGAATAATGCCTCGTTCACTGTCCTAGAAGGGGTTACGGCAGATGCGGGAGACAGGACTGGTAAACGGGTATTTCACAGTTGCAGATGGCCAATGCTGTAACGGATGTGTAAACAAGATGGTTTCTAAGTTGCTACCCAGTTTGGCTGTGTGGGCAAACCTTCCCTTTTTTCTCCAGCCGCTTCCACCACATTTAACATTACCAACCTCTCATTTAGAGAGGAAACTGAATATCTACTCCCAGGCCCACAAGTTTTGCACCCCCCCCCCCGCCGCTTCATTTCCCTATTATCATGAAAGAAGGCCCCAATCGTTGTCAACTGGAAATGAAATGAGGTAGAGAAACGTGAAATTGTTACTGATCTGTAGTAGCTGTGAAGCCTGGAAGGGAGAGACAAAGAATTGTACCCTGGGATTCATCCCTTGGGATTTACAAGTTTATCATCTCTTTTGGAAGATGGAGTTTATCCCAGTAATGAGATAGCGAACGAAACAAGGCCGTCTGTAAGTGCCAGCCGAGTGTTACACAGGAATGTGCGATAAGAATTCAAAGCGCCCGTTTTTCTTGTCAGGTAATTAAAAAGAAGAATGAGTTCTATAGATAAGCCCAATACAAGAAAGGTCTCCTAAAAATGTTTGTTTGTTTGGGTACACTTTGATCTATTTGCCCAATTTAGAAAGAAGATAACTGATAGTGTTGATTGCTCTCTCTCACTTCACTCTTACATAATGAGGTTCTCACACAGGTGAGATTAACTAGAAAGGAATGCAAAATATCACCACTGTGGAGGGACCGATTTTGCCTGAAATTGGAAGGTCGTAATGAAATTACAGAGGTTAACTTTGTCCAAGTTAACCACCTTGGACAAAGAGGTGCTCAACTTTAGAAATGGGAGCTGTGACTATAAAGTAATAAAGTTTCCTCGACAAACAAACATACCTGGAATTTTTGCATGGGATGACGTCTCCAGCTTTTAAGTCATTGACTGTGCTCCCATTTCTCAAAATCACTTGTGAAGTGGCCTCAGGGCACTTGCTAACCACAGGGATAAAAGCGATCTTTATGTTTAGAGTTATTATTCTTACTTCCAACCTTTGGGGTCCCCATGGTTGCCAGAGCCCCTCACACAACTTCCCCGTCCCCCTTTGTACTGGGAACAGGTCTGATGGGAGTGCCTTCCCCAAATGTTAACCAGGAGGGGGCTCCAAGCCTGGCCCTGGCTCAGAGGAAATCTTTGCTTTTCTCCTGGCCCCACCTCCTCATTAACAGACAGAGCAGCTGCAACTTACCCTTCCTGCAATTTCTGTGGGGCCCTTGCACTCCTGGCAAGATGCCGGCCCCTCTGCCGTGGATGGTAGTAATGTGCCCTCCAAGAGAACGTCTGATCTGCAAAGTGTTAATGGCTAAGAACTGGGGGGAAGTCCTTATCCAAAAGCCATCTTTTGATCAAGGAGGGGCCCTCTGCCTCAGAGGAAATCTTTCCTGTTTACAGACTTCTGGGGCCTTTGAAAAGCCGTGGCAGGTTATGGGCCAGGCTCCTTAGCTTTTACGCAAAGGGGCAAACAGGATGAGACCAGGATGGAAACTACATATCATAGGAACCCAGAAGGGCAGGAAGCAGCAACATAAGAGGGAACTCTTGATGAAAAGTATAATTGGAAAGGTTCGTGTTAAGTAGGAAGGGGATAATAGCATTAAAATATGTCTGTAGATTTTTTACGTGTTTGTAATAATACAACCATTAGCCCACCTTTCCTTCAGGTGGTTTTTTTTGACACATTATTCTCCACTTTGGAGAAATCTGATTCCCTCTCCCCACGCCCGCCCACCCTGCATGGAGATTCTGTGCTAAGTCTATTTGGGAGAAAAGACAATCAAACAGCATTCTTTTTATTATTGTTAATTTCTATGTGAAATGGAACTTGGGAAAGACCTTATTATCCTTTGTAGAACTAATTATTCTGACTAATTAGGAGATCAAAAATAAAAGAAGTATGTAAAGGATGAGGTTGCTATTTATTCACTATGCTTTTTCTTCATTCTGTTCTCCAAGAATGCCATAGATGTATGTGAGTTCTTTTTTAAAAATGGCGTAGACATTACTATGAAAGGAACAATTTTTTTTTGCTTCAAAAAACTGTGTGTGTGTGGTGGTGGCGGCGGTGGTAGTGGCTGTTGAAATCCCACGTGTGGAGTGGTGATGTCCACGAAACGCCCCACTAATTTTATAATCCCTTTGGTGGCTCCACCCAGCCTGCATGTGACCACGAGCCACACCCACCCAGCTCTACACCCCGCACTACAGGATGAGCCACGATCATCTGTTTCCAGACAGAAGTCAGTAGTAACATGTTTTATAATTGCAGTCCTATGCCAACTAGAGAATAAATTGTCATTACCAGATGGCTCCGTGGTGCAAAAAATGTGCTCATACAGAATTCTGCATCAGCCTCCTTGACTTGCGCCCAGCAGGTGATATTTATGGACTGTTTACAAGTTGCTCACATATGGCATTCTAAAGAGGTTTGTAACTTTTATATGCTGTCATCCAGTTTATTTATTTTATGAAAATCCCACTCCAAAGGTCAGCCTCCCTCTGTCTACCTCCCTAACTTCAGACTGGAGGAAAAATCCTCAATGTGATCTCAGGACAGAGCTGCTAAACAAAGAGGCTTTCAAGCCCTCCAAATGTAGTGCTCCCCCCCCCCCACATGTCCCTGATAGGCTGCTCATCCTGACTGCAGGCAGAACCCCAGTGAGAATGGGGGTAGCCTCCTCACTTATTCAAATGATACAACATTTGTGTTCTTTTGTGTGGAAATGTCTTGTCAGCTTTGGGCTTGGGTCAGCTCACGTGGAGGAGAGAATGGGGCAGGCACCCCGCAGAAAGGAGGGTGGTCAGTGTCCTGGGAGGGCATGCAAGCCACGGGCACTCAGGTGGGCCCAGGCCAGCAGGTAGGAGCCCTTCTCAAATCCTCTCCTGGCCACCGCCCAAAATGGAGCCTCAGAGTTCCCACGGAGGCAGCGACAGAGCTGCACCTGAAAATCGTTCTTCCTGACACAGATGGGCGTTGTTCTGGACATTGGCATTCCTGACTTGATCATCCTCAGTCCAGGTAGCCACTCAAAATGGGTAGAAGTTTTATTCATTTGTAGGTCAATGGAAATAGGACGAAGGTATTTTCTTGTCCTTGTGAAAGCAAATCTAAAGGAGTGATGTTATTTGGTCATTGGAAAGATTTCAATACTGAGATGAACACAGGGTGTCCCCGTGGTGGAGGAAAGGGGGAGCAGGCTGTGCAGGAGCCCCGGGGACTGCGGGGATCGCAGACATCTTGCAAGTCATGTCAAGTTCTTCCCCTTCATTTGGTAGGAAGTAGGAGACCGCAGGAAATTTTTTAGAGTGTGAACTTTCTCAAGTGACTTTTCCAAGTCACATAGGTAATCTTTTCC